ATAATGCAAGTTTTTTTTTTGGGGGGTTAGATCGCTTTGCTCTCCAACACACCGGTGTGCTGTACTAGTAACGAATTGGCACGTTCTGTTTACGTGACAAACCTTCCTAAATTGGCTCTCGGATGGTGGCGGGTTTAACGACACATTTATAAATGTATTCCATTTGTGCCAAAGGGCATATCACGAGATGAAATCCATTCGGGAAATCTTTCAGTCCGCCAACCTGATTGGCGGCCAACAGCTCGCGGAAGTGAATTTTCTTTTTCCCAGGACATCCGGACGATCCTTCGAGTAGCCTTTTCCGTCCATAGCACAGAAAGCCCCGCTATGGGATTAACACGCGACTGTTGAACCGATATACCGCTTAAGAATGCTTAAGAGCTGGAACGTGGCCGAATCGAAGGATCGCAGCGACACAACGTTTTAGCCGAGTTGGTGAAGCCACTTTTCAACAGGGGGAAATCACAAAACGGTAACTCGGCAGAATCGTTGATAAACATCAGGTAGCAGGAGGGGGGGGGGGGGTAACTTGCAAAAGGTGGATCATGCTGAACAGTAGGATAAGTCTAGAAGAGGTTGAAATAAAAGAAACAACTGCATCCTTCCAAGAAAGCAGGAGGAGTGCAGCATCGATGCTGAGACAGAGAGTTTACCGATACTTAAAGGAAATGAATAGGAACCAAATCTGGGTGGAGAAGACAACATTTGCTACGTGACTGGAAATCGGATATATATTTTTTTATACCACTACATGAAGGATAATGTTTGCGGTAGCTGTGGACGGGCGGAGCGGTTGTCGCAGGCAAGCGTTATCACCACAACTTTACTCGATTGAACAAACAGGCGGGCGGAAATGTGACTACGTCAAAAGCGGCGCGTTTGGGGGTTCGATGGGTTTGGAGCCCGGAGGAGTTGCAGCGAGTTTATCGGGCAACGTTGGGAGGTGAGGACCCCTGCAACTCTCCGTGCACACGTGTTCTCGTCGGGAAGTTTCCGCGAATAATAGCAAGCTCCAAAACGACCCTTTTCCATTGCGGCTGCAAACGTTGACATCGATCTTTTAAATCGAGAAACAAAATGTACCGCGAGTCTCACTACAATATTTGCCGCAACTTTTAAAAAGCAAACGAAGTTTTTTTTTCTTTCTTTTCTCGGCTGCGCTTGAAAAGAGCGCACCTCCGGTTAGCACGGTATTCTACGTACGGTGCGAAAGAAGTTAAACGTACGCACTTCACAAGCGATGCCCTTAGCCCCAGTATTCTTCACTGCAAGGCCCCGCGGGACACTGGTGGCCCCTGGTGGACTTTAGGGGCCATCCATTTAGCACGTACGCACGCATGGAGGCGAGAGGGGGGGGGTTAACCTAAATGCGTACGCTTGCGTATGGGGGGTCTACTGACAATGTACGTGCGCATGAGAAATGGGGGGGGGGGGGGTAAAACCTCGATAAACAGGTCCCTGCAGGGTGGGCTGGTAGGAACATTGGAATTTTTTTTACACCCAACAGCACGAGATTTCACTTCGTTAAAGTATTGAAAGGGGACGGACGGACGGACACATTAATCTATTGCAGGCTGGTACACTCAGTTTACAACTTCGTTCCTACCAGTATAATTTGTCTACATTGGCCTTCAAATGAGTTAGATAGTCCGGCGGTGGACTGTTTGCTTAAACACGTTAATATTATGAATCCTTGATCGTTTCTGTGTGGATTAAATATCGGCCGTTCTATAGGATTCTGGGGGGGGGGGGGGGGGGGTGGTGCGTCAGGCGTACATACGCAGGTGTGGGGAGGGGTGTAAAAAGTCCGCGTGCGTACAGGGCGGGGGGGAGGGATCAAGTTTTGACAGATTTTTGCGTACCTACTAAATGGATTGTCCCTTAGTGCAGCTCCTGACAATACACAACACGTGACAACACCCCCCCCCCATCATCATCGTGCTGCTGTCAAAACCCCAATGGTTTAAATGTGACGGCACTCACACAACTGATGATGTCTTATGGGCGAACGTGTCCCCCCCCCCACCACTCTCTGAAAATGAGTGAAGAACATTGCCTTAGCACAATGAGCTTGAATGTTGACAAAGTTGTTACCATACTCATTGATTCTTTCGGTAAAGTTACGTATGTAGAAATACAATTTTTAAAAATTTAATTTTATTTCTACATACGTGACTTTACCGAAATAACCAATGAGTATTGTAATTCCAGCAGTCACGAAAGCTTCAATCCTAGATTAAAGTTGTTACCCTTTATTGTATTTTGTTACATCTTCCTTTGTATCAGCTGTCAACACTGCCATGTTCTGGATTGTCACACGACCTTTGTGCTGTGAACATTCATATTACTTGCCCGAATTGCCTCATTTTATTATTCAAGCATATCACCAATTTCTTTTTTTATTTTACGTTTAGAGATAACTGTGCGGTTATCGTTAACGCTTTATGAACCGTAAACTAGAAATGACGATCTTGATTTGAAGCTTTCGTGACTGCAGGAATCCTTACTCTGGTTCTTTCGTTAAAGTCACGTAGGTAGAAAATAAAAGAAATCACGACGTTTCGGGGGCGCAACACAAGCGTCCGTGATGACGTCATCACGGACGCTTGTGTTGACGTCATCACGGACGCTTGTGTTGCGCCCCCGAAACGTCGTGATTTATTTTATTTTCTACCTACGTGACTTTACCGAAAGAACCAAAGAGTATAGAAATGACGACTTATTTACTTTCACAATAGCAACAAGCTCGTATTGTATCATGACAGATCTGAATGGTTTGAGCGAAAGGGCTGATTATATGTTCGACGGGGGGGGAGAAGGGGCAAATGTTGTTACAGTGTTCACTGTTGTGCTCAACCATGTGCTCATTGGCCAATGGATCGGCAGCAGAATATCCAGGAATCACAATGAATCTCCTACAATTCTAGATTTAAAGCTTTCGTGACTGCTAGGATCCATACTCTTTGGTTCTATTGGGTAAAGTCACGTAGGTGAAAATAAAATAACAAAAAAATTAACAAAAAATCACGACGTTTCGGCCACAACACAAGCGGCCTTCATCAGGTGAAGGGACGAGACTGTCTGGAGGACAGTCTGGAGGACAGACTGTCTCGTCCCTTCAGCTGATGAAGGCCGCTTGTGTTGTGGCCGAAACGTCGTGATTTTTTGTTAAAATGTTTTTTTTCACCTACGTGACTTTACCCAATAGAACCAAAGAGTATGAATCTCCTACACCTGAGCCTGGAGGTTTGTGTATGATGCAGGTTCCTTAGCTACGGCTTTTGGCTGGAACATTGAACGTTATTGGCCTTTTTAAGTACTGGGACCTTAGGCTCAGCTTTGCAACAACAACAAAAACACAAAATAATGAGCATCATTGTTGTGCACTATACGCAACAAAATACAGGAGCAATGTCTCCTTTGGTTTCGAGACATATATATGAAGGAGTCATTGTCCGCTTATCTATTTTGCAAAAAAAAAAAAACAAGTTGTTGCCAGTGGCGAGGGTTGGGTTCGAGCACCTTTATCGCATTCTAAAAAAAATTGAAAATGCAGGTGGCCAAGGAAAATCACGTGGAGAGTTTGTTATGAACTCCATAATCCAAGGAACGTGTACTCGGGGGGGGGGAACTGTACGGTTATCAGACAGGTGTTTTGAGACGGCAGCAATGACTGTGAATTTACGGGTCCATGAGAAAAAGCAGCTTCTGGTACCGACGAATGTGACGTGCACGCTCAAGGTCGCTGCAAATTTGTATGACAGTAAAAGGGGGGGGGGGGGCATACACGCCTTACAAACGTAATCAGGAAGAGGAGGTTAATGTGGATGTAAACAGGAAGAGGATGGGAAAGGGCAGGTTACCAAAACAACCATTAGTGTTGGCACTAAAGAGAGTTGGTCACCCACCCAAGGGGAAGGGCTGGAGCCAGATAGTTGGGATATTGCAACGGCAAGACTTTTGAGGTCATGTGTGTTTACTGCAGACCAGTCGAGTGATCTAGGTAACTGGACTGCACAGTCACGAGTTTTGGAGCTGTTATATTGAACTGTTTTGAGTAGACTCGCTTTAGATCTCTGAACAGAGCTGGAATGGATAAAACATTATATATCCACAAGCTTTGCGTTTCATGTAGGGTGGATTTTTTTGCCATCGCTAATTAGCAAATGTACGGCAATAACAAAAGCGTCGAGATCATTAAGAAAATCCATGCACTTCGTGCAAACGTTGTCTCGTTTGCATGTATTTCTGTAGAACTTCTTTCGCATCGCACGCAGCCAGCCATGCCAATCGGAGGTGCGGGAAGACACAAAACAAGAAAGCCACACTTGTACCCCCTCCCTACACAAAATGGGTGTCTACAATTACGTAAAGCCACATCAAGAGTCGAAGAGGAATGCACCCTTAAGAGCCCCAAAAGGTTTGGCTTGCGCTTGCAAAAAACAGACATCTTCCCAACAACCGCCAACTAGGTTTTTTGACAAACGGAGCTGACACGGGTATCGTTTCGCCCACTGCGGCATTTCTCTAAAGTTAAAACACCAGCAGTCAGAATGTATTTGGCGAGGCATAATATGCCAACCCACACACATCGTGCCATTTCCAGGTATTAAGCAGAAACCTTGTTTGGGAACATGCTTTGTTGACCTTGGGAATATAGGTTTTCTCTAGAACTGCTTTGTGTGTCGAGTTTGGTGTCCTTCCCCCGCACCTCCGATGAGCACGGTCGGCTACATACGGCACGAAAGAAGTTCCACATACATACAAGGGGATGCACCAAGTCTGTGGAACATTATTCCTATCCACATCAGGAACTGTCGGTTCTTTTAAATCGAGCCTAAAAAACAAATTTTATTCGATGGATTTTCTTGCTGGTTGATTGTATTTCATGGATATTGTGACTTATACGTTCAACCAGATTTTATTAGCGTTTCTCTGGGTTCCACCAATTAGGTATCAAAGTTCCGATTTTGGTTTGATCTTTTGTTTTATTGTATTCGGATTGGGTTTTTACTGGTCAGTGTTTTATTTTAATATTATTTTCATTCAACTTTTTTACCTCCCACGTACAGCGCTTTTGAGATTATAGCAATCCCTCGACAACAGCGGGGGTTCGGTTCCTGGAAAATTCCGCGGTAGGTAAATGCCGCTGATGGTGAAGTACAGGGCCTATGGGAAGTAATAGGGGGTTAGAGGAAACCATTACTGTGGTCAGACTAGTCGTAGCTTAACTACGTTGCCTGTTAATTCAATAAACACCAAATAAAATACAGTACATTACACAAAATCATAAATAAATATCACGTTTACAGATCTTTAATATTCACGATGATGATGGTGACGATGACCATGAGATGATGGGGGGGGGCTGGTTGGAGGAGGGGGCTCAGCCCACCCCTCCCCCTCTTGCTCGGGGCCACTGACGCAGCACTCTCACCACCACCACCACCACCACGATTAAGAGCAAATTTAACCCTTTCCAGAAATCGGGGAAAAAAATATAACTTTATCGGTAATGCAATAACGATGTCAGGCTGTGATGCAGTGAGATACACGCGTCACGTGAATTCCTCAACACCGTGATCACCCGTGGATACTCAAATGTCCAGACCGTGGCTGGTAAACGATGGGTATCCAGAAGTAAATCCGCGTATACTCGAAAAACCTCGCGGTTGGTAAATTCGCAGTTGGCAAGGGATTACTGTACTCATTTGAAAAGCGCTTAGTCAAACTGAGCTTATTATCACTCTTGTAAGCGATCACTATTGAGACGGGAGACAAACATGGGTGCGCCATGGTGGAGAGCTGTTAACTCCCTCGCCTGGTATACAGGCCTGGGTTCGATCCAGACCCTGACGCCAGTGGTACAAAAAAAAGACGTAGTTCTATGGTGGGGGCAAGTCTATCCTTTGGACAATTACTATTGACTTTCCACAAATTGGTAACCAATTTATTGACCCCAGAGGGATAATCGGATGGGTCAACATACATCGGGTACATCATGACAGAAACCACCGCCTGGAATTTAATGTTGATGTGCATCTCCTGATTACATCTTAGCTAGATATTGAGAAACCTGGGCTGGGTAGTTAGCTACGTGCAGACTAGTGTTTAGCCTTTATTAGGGACAAAGTCTGGAACCGAGTTAGAACTACGTAATGGATAAGAGACAGCACGAGGAGTCATGGGTTGTGCTGGAGCTAAAGCTACTGTTAAGTCAAAACTAGAGCATATGGTCAGAGTTATGGTTAAATAAATATATCATGTTAATGGCCAGGGTTAAGAATGAAGCAATTTGGGGGTGAAGGTTGGCAAAATAGGGTGAGCATTATGTATAGACAGTCTTCACTGCCATTTAAGATGCACATCTGTGTTTTTTGGGCTGATGTTAAAGTTAGCGATAGCCATTGTTCACGATCAGGAAGTAGGAGATTTTTCATGGCTGGGCCCATATTTCACCGAACGCTTCAGACAGAAGTCAGTGCGAGGGGCTGCGCGGTGGAGTGGCATGGATATATTTAGTTTCAGTGGTAGTGATCAACAGTGCAAGAAAGCCGAGTAATGCGTTGTGCCCTAAAGGAGTCAGATTTGGTTTAAGTTTCGGGTAATGGAACGTTCGCATGTGACGTGATCAGTCCGAGTCTGAGTCTGAATTGTTGGAATGTGGAGGACTTGAGTTTTGCATGGTTTCCTCCAGGGGTGCCAACTTCCCATCCACACCCACACCCATGGGCTGGATGATCTGCTCCCTGCAAGGCCACACAAAGATGTACATCATCACATCAACACCACACCGACATTACCACTACAACACCAAACACTGCTCCGTGTACCCTTTTTCCACTGAGATATCCGAGCCATGCCAACGTGGGGCCCTCATGGCACAAGCGGTTTTCCACTGGCTATTTGCCATGCAAAAGCCAGAACCAAACCATGCTATGCTGGCCATAAAAGATAACTCAGTCAAGACGGACCAAATCATGACCATTGTTTGTAGCATGGGGGCTGGTGGCAGGAAATGCGTGCAGTTACATGGCCTGGTGCGTGCCGTTGTAAAGCCTTGTGTGCACAAGAAAGCCCTTACCGTGAGAGTTTGTCAAACATGCTGACGAGTTTCATAGCTTCATGTTCCTTCTGCTCATCAGTCATCCCCTCCATGGGGTTGGGGAGTTTTTCTTCCACACGTCCCGTTATGGGGTTGATGCTGCCACACGTGTCGCAGAGAAATCAGAAAGAACCGCCACGTAGCTTTTTACAGACTGCTGGGGACAAGCGCTGTGTGAGCACCTATCGAGACTGCCGCGACGCACAAACATACGGTGTGGTCAGCACCATGCCTTTGTCTCCCCGGGTGGTAATGTTTACACACCGGACCAGGTACTCATTTTTAAGGCTAAGTCGACCTAGGGGAGGCCAAGGACCGGTTCAGAAAACCATTACCGGTGTTGGTGTTGGCTACGAGTGGCAATCGAATTCGAATCGCCGGGGGTTCGTAGCGCAGCGTACTAACAATTGCATTCCCGCTCCCCGCCCTTCCGCTCGCAACACGCACAAGTATGGAATATCAATGCATTTTCTGCCGGAATTATGTACAATTACCACTTTTAAAATACAATCACTCTGGGTATGTGTGTGCAAAGTTGAATGAGTGCAAAGACAAAGATCCCCCCTCCCACCTCCCCCCATTTAGCCTTTTCAGGCTGTTAGTGAGCACCTATGAAGGCCAGTATGGCACACAAGAGAGTGGAGTGGCCAGAACCACACTATCGTAGCACCAACGTAGGGGGTTAGCGCAATGTGCTACGAACAACAACGGGTTAAGGCTCCCCCGACCATGGCGAACGTCAGTGGCGAATATCTGAGCCAGTCCTGGGCCTCACCTCGGTTGACTCAACCTTCAATGAGTACCTGGTGCCATGTATAAACATCAGCAATGGGGAGGGCAAAGGTAATGAGGGGGGGGGGGGCATGGAAATGATCCTGGCCACCACCCCACCCTGGTGTGGTGTGCCAGCCTCCATAGATGTGCTCGCTAACAGCAATCGACTGGAGGGGAATGTGGGAGGGAGATATTTGTCTCTGTGTTTCATGCGCTGCTGTACTTGGGCTTCGCTTGCCGGTACTCCTCTGTGTCTGAATCGGAGTCGTCCGAGTAGTGGCCCTCGCCCCGTCCGCCGGCCATGAGCCCCCGCGCCGCCAGCAGGCCCGCTGCATTCCCATAGCCAGTGTACTTGACAAAGCGTGCCACTGCAGAGGAACAACAACACCACCGCCACCACCGCTTTTACCTTCACAGCACAGGTATCAAAACCAAAACTAAACTAAACTTTTTTTATTTTAGCAGGTAAGACCCACTTGAGCTGTATAGCTCTTTTCAGAAGCGACCTGGCCACAAACGATAACTCAACTAAGCAGCTTATGTGGAAATTTATAGCATACAAGTACTCTAAACGTACGTCGATTTTACATGTAGAAGGAAAAACCGGAGGACCGGAGAAAAATCCACACGACCACGGGGAGATCATGCAAACTCCAAATATACAGGCGTCAGGGTCGGGATCAAACCCATGCCCCTCCTGTATACAAGGCGAGGTGATTAACATCTCGCCACTCCACAGCAGCAGCAGCAAGAATATTAACAGCATCTTCAACAGCAGCAGCAAAGACAGCAACATTAAACGTGTATTGTAGTTGGGAAATGTAAATAAAATGGTATGTAATTTTTAAAAGAAGCAGATTATTTCAGGGGTGGCCTCCAGTCCGAACTGTATCATGTCACGTTTCATATTTCGGTTGGCATTGTCGTCGACAGCCAATACCAACAAGAGAAGTGCCAGAAACAACGCCAACATGAACATAAGTAGCCACTGTATCCATCAACAACAGGGCAGATAACAACATCAACACCAACCTCGCTATCAAAACAATACCAACATTATATATATAAAAAAAAATCAAAAGCATACTTATCATTAACACGTTAAAAATGTCAACTGAACCCATGATTCTAACAGAAGCATTTGCCTTCATCACCAACGGCACCATCAAACCTAGCAACAGCAGTAACATCATAAGTTGTCTTGATACAAAGCTACATTTACATGCGAAATTAATTCACACTGTATGCATAAAGTGACATTAAACTGCGGCGATACATTCAAGAGAAGCATTATCAACATCACCATGACCGTCAACAGACGCATCAAAGAACATTACCTCCAGCAATCTTTTCAACATCACCGATAAATGCTCAATCCTGTTATCCGTGACAGTGTTTGCAAACGGGGTTTACGTGGATAAAAAAAATTTCGTAGCTAAGAGGAGTTTCCCCCGCGCATCGTCTGCTGAAATAATAATTCGAAACCACTTAACTCCCCAGGTGTCTCTGTGCTGCTGCGTCACACATACAGCAACAACTTGGGCAACCCGGCAAACGTTGCACGGCCTCAACGTGAACACCAAACTTAACACGCGCGAAGGTTTTCACAGCCAACATTTCGCACTTGGCTCGTGAGCTAGGTCACGCAATGATCTAACATCGCATCGCGTTCCAAAAACGGCCCACTTCGATCGATCGACTATGGCGCGTCGTCAGCAAGGGACCCGTTTGCGTCAAAACGGGTGACCACTCGCGACAGCAATCGCAAAAAAGTGCCCTTGCTATCTTACACCGGTGTCGAGTTATTTGTTTGATCCACGGATCATGGGGGGGGGGGGGGGGGCGACGTAGAGGGCGGCGCCATTTCTTTGAGGGTCACGGTCCGCTTCGCTTCGAACGTCGACCGCCAAACGAAGTGCGCAACTTGCTGCAGGGGTTTGCGCGTCATAAGACGGGGCGACGTGTCCTCAATGCGACAGCCGTCTCTCCCTCGAGCTAATGTAATTCTCGGATTTTGGTGTTTGACGTGGTCTCAAACAAAGCATCGCATCCAGTTGCTAAATTTGGCTGCTGACGATTGTTCTTCAACCCACCGGTGAGCCGAAACAACAATCATCGCGCCCGCGTTATACGCTTGTGCACCTGACAAGTGAATTTGTTCGCCTGTGTCAGGTGGTGGAAGGTTCTCAACGGCACAAACTGCCTCGGACCACGGTGTGGCCCAACCCAAAAAAAAATCAATTGTGAATTATAAGCAACAGGCATGATTAATTCCCACATTCGTCACAATCGCCCTGCCAGGCGCAGGCTCACTTCGTGTTGCCGCGACGCGGAGTGGGAGGTGTGGCGTGGTGCTCCTTGCAGGGTGCAAGCATCCTACCACTCTCTTTGCACAGCACGAAGAGGAACTCTGCAGCACAGTGCTTGACGTCGGTGTCGATGTGAGTCATGAGACGCACCAGCTTGTTCCTCAGCGTGTTGCCCACCTCCGGCCGATTTGTGACATCCTTCAATGGGGGCAGCACCTGGATTGGCACGAACAAAACGTCAACAAACATCGCCACCTCAGTAGATTGTCCCTAGCATAGAATGACATACTGTGCATACAAACTAAACTATAACTATTTCTTATTTTACCAGGTAAGGCCCACAGTGCAGATCTTTTTCAGAAGCGATCTGGCCACGAATGATAGCTCAACGAAGTGGCTTATCACGAGGAAATTTATAGCAGCCAAATACTCGCACATTTAGAAATCTGGAGGGACAAACCGAAGGACCCGGAGAAAAATCCACACGACCACGGGGAGAACACGCAAACTCCAAATATGCAGGCGTCGGGGTCGAGATCGGAATCGAACCCACGACCTCCTGCATACCAGGCGAGGTAGTTAACATCTTGCACACTGTGGCGCCCTCTGTGCTGTTGCTGAAGAATGCATAGTAATATTGACAAGCAACAAGGTGAAGGTGGAGTCACAAGCATGCCGGCCCAGTCACCATCACCTCCACGGCAATGCGTCGTAGATCGCGGTGAAGTATGTTCACCAGCGAGATAAACCATGTCCATTTGGAACTCTCACAGGCAGCAGTGCACCACGCCATGTCGGGAAATCGACTCTGGAAGGTGACATCATTGGGCTACTTCCGAGACCCTTATTAAGGGACCACTTAGCCACACTGCGTATGCTTGCGCTCTGTCAAGTGGCCCGCCATCGATGTTCGTCGTGTTTGCAGTCAAATTGAAATGCTTAACTCTCAGAGATGGACTTTGCCATATTAAGTGAAAAAACCCACATGTACGATGGTGGTCATTTTGTTGTACAGTCCAGCTCATTGCTCTCTCACCTCTGGGCCGCCCAGTCAATTATTTGTTTTTTTACCGAGTGGACATAGAAGCGATCAGGTATCGATACCAAACAACACGGATGTTTATGGTTAGGAATCGGATATGCGTTGCTGCGATTGTAACAGAGTGCACCCAGGCACATCTACACACATATAATATCACACGAGCACATTGTACGCGCAATTTAACGGGGAACCAAAAGTTCAAATGCTCAGATTACTTGTTGATAGTGCAATACAAAGGAATTTATAAATTAAAACTAACAAAAATATTTCTGGTAGCTAACTGCCCCTGCCACCCCCCCCCCTCCCACGCAACCCTCCACAATCTCACCGTGCCACCGCTGTCACTGTTGCCATCATTATTATCATTGGCGTGTAAAGGCAGTTCGACCCCCCCAGTGACACTCTTCATGTTACCCAGCAGGAACGATAGCTAATACCCCTGGTGTGCTTTAGCACACAACCTGACGTATCAGCAAGAAATATGCATGCATTTCACTTTAAAACGAGCGCTTAATTTGACTATCGGGGAGTTAAAAGAAAGAAATATATTTTTTAATGTCACCAGGTAAGGCCCACTGAACTATTTGCTCTTTTTCAGAAGCGACCTGGCCACAAATGATAGGCGAACGAAGTGGCTTATCGCGTGGACATTTATAGCAGCCAAATACTCTAAACGCGTGTTTCTAAACGTGGAGGAAAAAAAAAAAGAGAGGACCCAGAGAAAAATCCACACGACCACGAGAACAGGCAAACTCCAAATATACAGCAGCAGGCGTCAGGGTCGGGTTAGAACCCACGGCCTCATGCACACCAGGCGAGGGAGATAACATCTCGTACCCACCGCGGCACTTCGTAATTGCGCCATTCATAAAAATGCCTCAAGCCAAGGTGGAACGAACCACCACATTTATCATTCGGAAGCCCCACTGAAAACAGAAACAAGGTCCTGCGCTGCCAGAATTGGTCACTCGCAATTGGCTTCGTATTAAGCAGGATCTCCTGCATTAGGCAGCGTTGACAATGTCTGTACAATCAAGTACATGCATCATGAAAAGCACTGGCATCTGAGCCAATACGGTGTGAGACATATATTGAAATGCGCAAACCAAACTGGTAGATATTTTATCAGCACATTGAGGGCCGAGTCTCCATCTAAGATGTCCCAGTGTGCCTGTACAGCCAGCCTTCCGTCAGAATCTGCGATGTGTCATCAAGACATAAGAACTAATTCTTTGGCTATTGCACGTTGCATAAAAAAAAATTGCGCAGCCTCCTGCCAATTTATCATGGCTATGGGTGGTGATGTCGCAGCTTAGGAGTGTCTTTCTTCCTGAACCGGAACTGAAGGGTGTGGAGGATTAATCTACTGTTAGCCGTGTGTTTTTTAACAGCTTCCCACCAGAATCCCTCTACAAATCAAATGTCCGCTCACCCAACCCCAACCCACGAGGCATAAATTGCACGACCAAGGCCACTGGTTTCTATCATCGGTTCTATGGACCGCGATGATTCTATGAAACCCAATGTGCAAGCCCTAACTTAAAGAGTTTTTTTACGTGACTGATACTCCAGAATGTGACCTTTGCCTTCTGTACCTATGGACATCACTAACTTGTTGCGTTAGTGATCACAGAACACGATTGGGTGATCAGACCACTGAACCGTTTCGCTTTTGGAGAAACTCCATAGCCTCAACCGCACAAAAGGTGCTGCGAGTTTTCTCATATCGTTCTTCCTGGTGGCTTTTGGAAGGCAGACCACCGTGGGGCCACAAGCCGGCAGCCTACGAGTATCGTGTCAAATCCTCCCATGGCACGGGGAAGTGTGCAGCTGTGCTGGCCTCTTGCCGAGAGGCCGATGGAACATCTCTTCAGCACTGACAGGTTTACCACGGAGCACGTGGGTTTGGCGACCCTCTCTATGCTAGTGCCCATGCGCCAATCGCGGGTATTGAAAGGCAGGAACGCGACAGCATGGCTGCACCTGGTGATATCATGTTATCTCAGGCATATGATGAAGGGCATAGGTTTCCTCTGACAAAGATAACAAACATGGAAACTGGCCAACCATCTCAATGCCAGCACCCCTCAGAAAGGGAGTTTTGAGATCTAGGAAGGACATCTTTGATAAACAAGTGAAATTATAGACTTAAAGCTTTAGTGACTGCAGGAATTCCTATTCTTTGGGTCTTTCGGTAAAGTAACGTAGACTTCAAATAAAATAAAAAAAACTAAGACGTTTCAATCGCAACACAAGCGGTCGTCTTCAGGAAAAGGGGGGTTAGTTTCCAAGGCAAACTGAAATTAGAATTTGTCACCCCATGCACGATGACCAATCATATCATTAGTACATACGGTAATATGCGCTATTTTAAGAGTGCAAGCCTATCGCTAAAGCGAGATGTTCCATAAACATGGCCTGCAGTAGTTTTGCAGTAGGGGGAGATGATTGTTACATGTTCCTCCAATCGAGTCATATTGCGGGTAACCTTTCAAATGTATCAAATGCGCACCATGACACTTTCACATGTGGCCTACTCACATATGGCCTACACAGATGCAGTGTCCAGGCTGAACTTGTTACCCACAGCACACCGTTGCTTGACATCGCTGTAAACAAGAGGCAATCTCAGTGCGTGTCAAAGCATCAGAGATTAACCCTTTCCCATTCTGAGAAGTCTGCAAGTTGCAGGGTGCGTGTCCCGTTCACCACTAAATCCTGGAACGCACAAGCGGCTAAGTGTTAATTTTATTTAGAGCGACTTAGCGCCGTTGTTTTTAAAGACACTGTACTCACTCGAGAGAACCGTAGCGACACGACCACACTCCATGATAGCTGGTGCCAAACTGTGCCACATGCCCCCCCCGCATGGCTTTGTGGGAGCCTCTTTATCGGTATATCTTCAGGTCGGAAGACGTACCGAGGGCTTCCACAAGGCCATGCGGTGGTAGTGCTTAAGGGGGCTCGCAATTTGAATCCAGCATACTGCCCTGGTTATTTGTTAGCGCTTCTCAGTGGACGTTTAAGATCCCTTGACATCATTATGAAGGCCATTGTTTGCGCAAACTACCCGCAAATTACTGGAGTGCAATTACATGTGGTAATCCATAATAGGTTTTATGGGCTGGATCGTGTAAATATAAATGTGTCGTTAAACCCACCAATTAGTAAGGTTTGTCACGTTAAAAAAACATGCCAATTTGTTACTAGTTCAGCACACACCTGGTGTGTTGGAGAGTAAACCCACAATATTTATAACTCGAGTACCATGACTGTTCCACCGGTATTTACAAACAGCCTCATCAGGTGACAGCCAGAGTTGTGGAGAAATCCTCCTGTTTCGGTTTTAGAGGGATAAATGTGATGTCGTCACTTGTAACACCGTCCCTGCTGTGAAACCATTGCAGACCACCGTCTGTGGAACAAAGCGCCTTCGCGAGCACCCTGCGCTATTAGAATGCCGTGAATATCAAATGCACTCAACTATAATCCATCCGATTGTTAACCGGAAAGAAAAGAAAAAAAACACACACACAACACCCTCACCCGGTTGCGGAGAAACTTGCGCATGTCACTGTGCTGCCGGGAACACTCAGTGAGCAGATTGACAACTGGCGTGAGGTTCTCTTTCAAACGATGGCCCTGGAAGACGGAAATAAAAGGGACACGAAGGCAGCCAGGACATTCGTAGCCATTCATCAGCATACACAAGTGTAAGCAAAATACCCCACAAACACCACCTGTCGCCACAAGTCAGGCCACCATTCTCACGAACGAACGAACGAACAAACGGGGTGGTCCAATTATAAACACCCCACCCGATTTAAAATACACCCTCTTACTTAAATCTTCTCAACACGCGATTGAATACCTTGAAAGCGATGGCTTCATATATCTTACGGAGGCGAGCGTTGAAAGGTTTAATGCGTGTTGAGATCAGTGGCACACTGGCAGCAGAGGCTTTGAAATGAAATGTTCTCAATAATCTCCACCTGTTTTTTGTTTGAGGGGTCTCTAGAATAAAATCATCCTTTATTGTTTATACGTGAAGAAAACTCACACAATCGGTGGTGGAAAGTCGGATTCAAAGTGGCAACTTTCCAAGGCGCACTTCGCATATCGCGCGACAACCTGCACGTTAATAGCGATGAACACAAACGTAATTGACCATCACTGTGATTGAGAAATTTTAATTACGAGCACAACCGTGAGAAAGATGCAGCAATTCACGTCGTTTCACATTACTGCTCCAGAGAGCTTCCCGCAAAAAGTAAAAAAAAAATTGTGGTAAAATCTGGACATTGATCGCTTTTATAATTTAAAAGGGGCTCCAAATGTCTCTTTACCCTCTTCACACTCCGGTGTGAGAAACTAGGTTGAGCAGTAATTGCTCCGCTCTAACGCCATCAGTGCCGAGGAATTATCAGTGTGTACCCCCTTAAGTGTTGTGTTCATTGCACCCGCTGAATAATTAACTCAACTAGAGACTGTCCTTGCCTGAACTGTGTCTTCTGCGCTCGGTAAGGGCCTTTATCTCGCGTCAAATTTTGTTTAGCGGTGAGGGACACGAAACCAAATATTTGAAAAATCCCACCAGGAAGTGGCTTCACACAGCCAGACAGGAATCCTACACATTTCTGGAATGGTAGCACAACAGCAAAAAGAACCAGAATGGTGCTGGTACACAACCTATTATATGTAACCGTTACGGTATTACAGTAATTTAAGTTTACGTATTTTTGTTGCGGCACGCACTTGGTGTGACGAGAAGCCACCCGTGGATGTTGCTGCACAGCAAATTTTTATTACTGGAAATTTAATACAATTTAATATTTGGACACGCACTGTTTTCGATTTCTTATGTAACGTGGTTGTTTTCGCTCTAACTTTAATTTGTTTTTTTTTTGCTAATTGCACCAATAGTTGTACTTAAAAAACATTTTTTAAAAATTGCTCTTGTCATTTTAGTGACCCAGGTTCACTCTTGCAAATGAGACTTATCCTAGTTTTTTTTAGCTCTTTCCAGCTTAAAATGAGTCTTGTTAACACTATTAGCCACGCTCACCCGGTCGAGGCGTTTCTCCATGAAGCCCAGCAGGGCCACCGGCACGTCCATGTTGCGCCCATTGTACTCTGCCGAGCCGGGCCGCACGGGGGGTGACAGCAGCTCCTCCAGCGAAGAGGGTGGCAGGTTCGTCAGGAGGTTCACTGTATGCCTACGGTCATAATTATATAATTTAGTTTGAAAAGTAATTTCTTTAGAACTACTTTTGTTTTCAGTTTGTTGTCCTTCCCCCGCACCTACGATTAGCACTGTTGGTTACGTACGGTGCGCGAAAGAAGTCCATTGTACGTCAATACAAGGAGATGGATTCTCAAGCTGTAACCGCTGCCGCACAACAGTGTGAGAACGAGCTCCCTTTCCGCTCAAGGTTTGTGATGCCTTTCTCCTTATTCACTCCGCTTCCTTCTCACCCTTGACTTATATACATATCTTTAAATGTTCAGCAAACTTGTTGCTGTACGTAACTTTCGTTTGCATATAATGCGCAAAACTGTAAAAAAAATCTCCGAGGGAAGATAATATTCTTGTAACACAAACGTAACAGTAAACCTTAACGGACACCTTATTTAATTGTTACCGATAACCAGATCGTATGGCAAACGCAATTCGTGCATGCACAAGCAGCCACGCATAATCGCAAAGACGATGAAGGAAAGATGACGAACCCATGGAATTCCTCCGTCCGGTCCTCCCCATCTGCAGTGGCCATGAGGCAGCGACGAAGAATCGAGACGAGGCCGCAATACTGTGCGGCGTCCTCCTGCAAAATCGGGCACACCAGGGGGCAGATCCATACACACACACACACACAAAGACAAATATCGCCCATATAGCCTTGACGGACTGTTGGGGCAAGTGCTGTTAGCGAGCGCCTATTAAGGCCGGAACGGCACACGAGGGGGTGGGGTGGCCAGCACCACGGTCGGTCCACCTTTGTCTCCCCAGTGGCGATGTTTAGACACCGCACCAGGTACTCATTTGAGGCCGAGTAGACCTAGGGGAGGCCCAGGACCGGTTCAGACAATCGTCACTGGTGTTGGCCATGAGCGGGAATCGAACTCGGCTCACCGGGTTCGTAGCGCTGTGCGCTAACCGCGACACTACACACACACACCAGGACAATCCACGTTGGGCTGTTAGGGTATACACACACAGAGACGCGAGTGCACTAGTTTGGGCATGCGTGCGCACACACACACATTTTTGGGCAACGCATGCAAATGGTAGAATTACCAATGATAAGCACAAGGTCAAGAATCAAGACATGAGCTGCGAGGGTTTTAGAGCAATGCACTCAAAGGCCACCAAGCCAATGGACGCAAACAACCATAATTTGCCACTAAGTGGCAGTGACGTGACTACAGCACTTTCTCCAGGATAGGCGCACTTTGAGGCCACTTGGGGGTCATTGAAGGCTAGCTTCCGAAAGTTGATGGAAAAGACACGTGTGTTTAAGTATTTCCGAAACTCAGTCAAGGGCTGCCGATGTTCTTTGCCTCCTTAGTAACACTCATTAATACCAAACCCCTGATATACCTGAATGGCTTATCTGACCACTGATGTATGGTAGGTCATCTCATGTGGTATGGAAGCATGGGAATCTTTTCTTTCTCTGAGAAAGCTGGAACACACCTCCTCTATTCGCAAGGGCCTGCAGTGAACTTGGACCTGGTATACACGACTGATGCAGCCACAGAGGTGGCAGTTCAAAGACTTTTCAGCTTGAAATGATAAAGTTCTTATTTTCAGCATTTAACAGCGAGGCAAGAGCGGGCTACTGCAGGCTTCAATTGGGTAGCTGCATGGTTGCCGACTCCCACAATTGAAGAACATCGGGCACAGATAACAAACCGATCGTCGGTACACAGATGGCATATGCACAAAGACAAAGATCCTCCGTATAGCCTTTCAACAGACTATTGTGGGGCAAGTGCTTTTAGCGATCACCTATTAAGGCCGGCACGGCACACGAGGGGGTGGGTGACCAGCCCCACGCCCGGCCGCCTTTGTCTCCCTAGTGGCGATGCTTACCACACACCGCACCAGGAAATCATTTGAGGCCGAGTTGATTGAGAGGAAGCCCAACTCATTCGAGGCCGTGAGTGGGAATCGAACTCAGGTCACCGGATTCGTAGCGCAGGTTGAGTCGACCTAGGGGAGGTCCGACTCATTTGTGGCCATGAGCAGGAATCGAACTCCAGGTCACCGGGTACATATCACAGCGCGCTAGCCACGACACCACCGCTCCCCACTGGCATATTCACAAATGCACACAGTCAGTACGCGTGCAAACACCTACAATGGGGCATTGCGGTTTACTCTTTCCAGTTCAGTTCAAATGCGAAACCAGATAGAGGTCAAAATCCACAATTTCATGCATTCCTTAGCTGGAAGTTCACATCAGCATGGCTAAAACTGCATCGCCCTGTATTATTCAATAATTGAACACAGACAGCTCTGCATAAAATGACGCAAAAAAACCCCCCACAGCAGCCAGTAAAAGCTGACATCCAGAAATAGTTTAAATTAATTAATAAATAGTCGGGCTTGCGAAGCCACACGGGGTGAATGGCGTGTTCGTGTTTAAGTTGCTAAAGTTCTTATCGTCTTGCGTGCTTAGACTTGTGCTCTGCAATCTGCCGCTGACCCAACTACACGCCTCATTTAGAGAGCCGCCAGGACTTGATATCTGTAAGATATGCATCGCGCTCCATGCATCTCACTCTGTTCAGTAGCCCTTATGAGATGCACCACTTGTTTTGCAAGGGAATGACGAAGGGTGGTGGCCATGGTCCCAAAAAATGTGACGATGTTGCGTTGGTAATGGTGCACAAAGCACAATTAACAAAACAAGCTCAACGCATTAATCTGTAACGTAAACTAGATCATCGATTATCCGGCAGCTTGGGAGGGCGGGAGGGGGTGCCGAATTTTTTTTTAAAACGTCGGATAACCGCATAACTATTAAAGGAGCTTATTTTTGTAGGTGTTGTGCACGTGTTTTGTGTTTTAAATGTGTTTACTATATGAAATTTGCATAAATAAACAAAGACAAAAATAAATTCCAAATGTAAAAAGTTGCCGTATTTACTGTACCGTACTTACAGTGAGGGATCAAAAGTATTTGATCCTCTGCTGATTTTGTACGTTTGCCCACTGACAAAGAAATGATCAGTCTATAATTATAATGGTAGGTTAATTTGAACAGCTAGAGACAGAATAACAACAAGAAAATCCAGAAAAAGCATGTCAAAAATGTTATAAATTGATTTGCATTTTAATGAGGGAAATAAGAATTTGACCCCCTCTCAATCAGAAAGATTTCTGGCTCCCAGGTGTCTTTTATACAGGTAACGAGCTGAGATTAGGAGCACACTCTTAAAGGAAGTGCTCCTAATCTCAGCTTGTTACCTGTATAAAAGACACCTGTCCACAGAAGCAATCAATCAATCAATCAGATTCCAAACTCTCCACCATGGCCAAGACCAACGAGCTCTCCAAGGATGTCAGGGACAAGATTGTAGACCTACACAAGGCTGGAATGGGTTACAAGACCATTGCCAAGTAGCTTGGTGAGGTGACAACAGTTGGTGCGATTATTCGCAAATGGAAGAAACACAAAGAACTGTCAATCTCCCTCGGCCTGGGGTTCCATGCAAGATCTCACCTCGTGGAGTTGCAATAATCATGAGAACGGTGAGGAATCAGCCCAGAACTACGCGGGAGGATCTTGTCAATGATCTCAAGGCAGCTGGGACCATAGTCACCAAGAAAACAATTGGTAACACTATGCCGTGATGGACTGAAATCCTGCAGCGCCCGCAAGGTCCCCCTGCTCAAGAAAGCACATATACATGCCCGTCTGAAGTTTGCCAATGAACATCTGAATGATTCAGAGGACAACTGGGTGAAAGTGTTGTGGTCAGATGAGACCAAAATGGAGCTCTTTGGCATCAACTTAACTCGCCGTGTTTGGAGGAGGAATGCTGTCTATGACCCCAAGAACACCATCCCCACCGTCAAACATGGAGGTGGACACATTATGCTTTGGGGGTGTTTTTCTACTAAGGGGACAGGACAACTTCACCGCAACAAAGGGACGATGGACGGGGCCATGTACCGTCAAATCTTGGGTGAGAACCTCCTTCCCTCAGCCAGGGCATTGAAAATGGGTCGTGGATGGGTATTCCAGCATGACAATGACCCAACACACACGGCCAAGGCAACAAAGGAGTGGCTCAAGAAGAAGCACATTAAGGTCCTGGAGTGGCCTAGCCAGTCTCCAGACCTTAATCCCATAGAAAATCTGTGGAGGGAGCTGAAGGTTCGAGTTGCCAAACGTCAGCCTCAAAACCTTAATGACTTGGAGAAGATCTGCAAAGAGGAGTGGGACAAAATCCCTCCTGAGATGTGTGCAAACCTGGTGGCCAACTACAAGAAACGTCTGACCTCTGTGATTGCCAATAAGGGTTTTGCCACCAAGTACTAAGTCATGTTTTGCAGAGGGGTCAAATACTTATTTCCCTCATGAAAATGCAAATCAATTCATAACATTTTTGACATGCGTTTTTTTCTGAATTTTGTTGATGTTATTCTGTCTCTCACTGTTCAAATAAACCAACCATTAAAATTATAGACTGATCATTTCTTTAGTCAGTGGGCAAACGTACAAAATCAGCAGGGGATCAAATACATTTTTCCCTCACTGTACCACTCCAATTGTAAACTCTGCATGGGGTGATGTACGCAGTACGTTGCTTTTGTTTCAACGACCGCATATTTGACGATCGCCGAACTTATGCGAACGCCGAATTACGCAACGCTTTTTCGCCGAATCGCAGTTCTTATTTTTCTATTTTCATCCCTGTAGGTGTTAAGTCATGAAAAATGTATGTACGTGCAGTATTTCACTGCTCAAGTTGAAGGTCGTGTATGTGCTGTATATATTTGACACCGAAATCAAGCATAGCTACTTTTTTCGTCACGCACATGGTGCCGAACCCCGGGACTGGTGAACAGCCTTTGGAGCAGTTTTGCCGGGTCAGATCGGGACTGCCGCATAATGTTGGAAGCCAGATAATCGCACGCCGGATAATCGATGATCAACTGTATATTTCCTTTGATGACAATGTTTGTAATTTTCATGGGCAGGATATCAAGGCGCAGCCGAGGTATGAAGAGTATCCAGTACGGGGGCATGGAAGTGGCTTTGCTGCTTTTTGCAGTTGACGTACTCTTTTGCCTCGTCAATCTGTGATCTCCAGCATGCACTTGAACGGTTTGATGCCGAGTGTCACGAGTGATGCAAGTGGGAGCGGGAGATCGGCTGGCGGATCGGTGCTGCGTCCGCAGTGTTGAGTGCACCGTACCATTCCCTGGTAGTGAAGCGGGACCTGAGTTCTCAAACAAAGCTCACGGTTTACAGGTCGATCCACATTCCCACCCTCACCTATGGTCATGAGCTTTGGGTAATGACCGAAAGGATGAGATCGCAGGTACAAGGGGTCGAAATGAGGTTTCTCCGCAGGGTTGCCGGGCTCACTCTCCTTGATCGGGTGAGGAGCTCAGTAATCCGCAAGAGCCTCAGTCGAGTCGCTGCTCCTCCGGATCGAGAGGAGCCAGTTGAGATGGTTCAGGCACCCAGTAAGTATGCCCCCCGGTAGACTCGCCCTGGAACTCTACCGGGCAGCACGTCCCACTGGGCGAAGACCCCGGGGCCGGCCCAGGACACGCTGGGGGGGATGACGTCGCACAGCTGGCCTGGGAACGCCTGGGAATTCCCCAAGAAGAGCTAGAGTGTGTATAGTAGTGCATAGTGTATCGTGTAGTGTGTAGTGTAGTGTCAAGTGTAGTGTATAGCTTAGTAGCGTATAGTGTAGTAGTGCTGGACTCTGTCGCCAGGGAAAGCGAGGTCAGGACCGCCACTACTCAACATGCTGCTGCCGCCGCGACCCTCACCAGGACAAGCGGATTGAGAAACGAACGAACAAACGAATGGCAGTGTTATTGACCAGTGCGTTGCACTTTTTGTTATATGTGAGAGGTAGGCGACCGGGCAGCTGCGGGACCGTTCACATCATCCACATTCACTCACTGGGGAACGCAGAGACTGTTGGCCAATCATTCACCTCAAAGCCACCATTCCTGCACTCATAACACAGCTTCGTTTTTGTCTTCTCCCGTTTACGCGAATTCTCAAATAACTACCGTCTAAAAAAGTGTTAGTTCGTGTGAATGGCATCAATTTCAAACAGGAGCCTGTTGGATATGTTTTTAGGTTTCCCATTCAGACGTAGAATACCCCCTAGACAGTTATGTTTTGATCAGTTTTTTTTTAATACATCTGAACCCATCTGTTTTGGGAGTTTCAAGCTGTTGTGCATGCCAGGTTTGGTGATATCGTTTGTTGTGTACACGTTGACGGCTGGTTTGAATTTAGTTCAATTACTGAACCTTGTAAACAAAATCTGCAAGTGAAGTGGCAATCATGAAGCACTCTCAGAAATAACTCTAAAATCGGGTACACACAAGTCAATGTCTGCCCTCTGCTGGACAACACAGTCTTCTTCTTTCGGATTGACTGATATAGATGCAGAGCAATGACAACAATTTCACATCCCGGTAGTCAAGCCAGAAAACCACATCCGGAGCAGTGGAGTGTATCGCTGTGATGTCTCCTTCGTATTTGTGGATTGGGCATTGGATGAACACAGTCGCACATTGGAGGGTTTTTAATTGTCCATTTGTGCATCAGGTAGTCGCATCTGCGATGGTTTGTACGGATGTGGTTTAGGGTGGACCATGAGCTTCGTGGAAGATACACTATGTAACATAATTTTTGTTCCTGGGTAGTAAGTGTTATTTCCTAATTGCTTATGCCTAAAAAGTATAGAAAATGGCTATTATTCCCCACAAACTTCGCTTTTATGACCAGGATAGTGATATTTTGAAATTGACCTATTTTCAATGAGAAAACGGGCGAATTTGTCTTTTCGTTCACATTGAGTCATAAAAAAACATATGAATCAAAATTAACATGTATTTATACCAAAGTAATACAAAAATAACTACAAAAGATTTAGAAGCGAGTAGTTTTTTCTAGATTTACGATTAAACTGTAAATCACTTTCACGAATCAGCCCCCAAATGTAGTCTCCCATCATGTTCTCGTTTTACTGTCCTTGGTAGCGGCATTCCAAGTCCAGTATATCCTGGTGGAAGCGCTCGCCTTGCTCCTCCAAGTACGCTCCCATATAATCCTTGAATTTATCAAGATGACCATCAAGGATACGGTCTTTGAGGGACATCCTACAGCCCATTGTGCCATAGTTCTTCACCAGTCTCAACCAGCTCCACATAGTTTTCGACCTTGTGATCCCCCAGGAAGCCACGAACTACTGCGACAAAGCTGTTGCAAGCCGCTTTCTCCTTACTAGCGAGCTTCTTGGGGAATTCATTGCACTCCAGGATCTTCTTTATCTGTGGTCTAACGAAGATACCGGCTTTGACCTTCGCCTCAGACAGCTTAGGGAAGAAGTCTTGAAAGCACTTCAAGGCTGCCGACTCCTTATCTAAAGCTCTGACAAATTGTTTCATAATGCCCAATTTGATGTGCAGTGGAGGCATCAGCACCTTCCGGGGGGTCCACTAGTGGCTCCCACTTGACGTTCTTCTCCACAGAGAACTGGGTCCGCCGTGGCCAGTCCTGCCAGTGGTAGTGCGCCTTGGTGTCCCTCCTGTCCCAAAGGCAAAGATAGCAGGGAAACTTGGTAAAACCGCCTTGGAAACCCATCAGGAATTCCACCATTTTGAAGTCTCCGATGAACTCCCAGGCATACTCATCATACTTCAAGGCATCCAGCAAGGTCTTGATGCTGTTGTAATACTCTATGAGGGGCACTGAGTGAGCCAGGGGAAGAGTCGGTTACTTGTTACCATTATGGAGCAGCACGGCTTTGAGGTTCCTGGATGAGCTGTCAATGAAGAGGCGCCACTCATTCTGGTTACAAGCGATTCCGATTGCCTCGAACAGACTGGTCATATTGTGGCAGAAGCAGAGCCCATCTTGATGGGTGAAGAATCTGCAAAAAGGATGGTGACGCTTCCTCTGATATGCGACTTGCACACTTTCATCCAACAAGTTCCACTGCTTGAGCCTAGACGTCAGCATTGGACTTGGTGAGACCAAGATCTCTGATCAAGTCATTGATGTCTTTTTGGTTTGGGTAGTATGGGTTTTTCTCCTCAGCTCCACCTCTGAAATTGTCATCTGGATAAACGTCTTCCTCGCTCTCTGACTTGCTGCTCTCTTCTAAAGACGGCTGCTCTCTCTTTGGAGGAGTGGGTACGGGGAGCTCATGGCAGTGTGGCACCAGGGCGATGGATGTCGATCCGGATACATGAAAGCAGGTGCATTCTTGCCAGTCCGACGTTTGGAAGGGTCCACCATGCAGAAGTAGCAGTTGGCTTGAGTGGTTAGTGCGTTCCCGCCAAATTCTTGGGATAGCGAACTTCATGGCTCTATTTTCCCCTACAAAAATACATTTATTTCCCCCATGACTAATGTGTAAGAGATTCTCGCAGCATTTTTCATATATATTTTTAAAAGAACATTTAAATTTGTAAAAAAATTTAAAATTTTTTTTTTACAATTTTCTAAATTTTAACTAATTTATAACATAAAATTCCGAGCAACAATTGTCCATCTTACCTTCCAGAGTTTTTCGCATTGCTCGCAGGTGAAATGAGGTGCCCAGGGTTTGTCTTGATCCCCGACAGGCATGCCAAAATATGCGGTGCAGGCCTCACACATCTGAGCAGATCCTTAAACAGAGTACTTTTTCGCTATTGTCTTGATAAATTGGCCGCAGACATAGCAAAATGCGTCTGCCGGATGCTTGCAGCCTCTTGATGCAATCTCGGAAAAATGCAGATATGTATCCACATCGGCAGCTGGAACTAAACTGAACTGGTGGGCTTAAGGCCCCTGTATTTATACTATTTATTTTACTGGAAAGTTCTATAATGTTCGAGAAGTTACTCCAAGTTTACTCAGCACTGAATCTATCTGGAATGTTCTGGAAAATAGGTAAATTTCAAAATATCAGACCTGGTCACAAAAGCAAAATTTGTGGGGAATAATAGCCATTTTCTGTACTTTTGAGGCATAAGCAATTAGGAAATAAAACTTACTACCCAGGAACAAAAAATAAACAATTGTAGCCAAATCTGCAAAGCAATCTAAATAATAAGCATTTTTTTCCTGGGAGAACTGCTCATAGATCACTCCACCACTCTCAACAAATGCGGTGTCATTTGAAAGGTTATGACATGAACCACAGAATAATTTGATACGTTGAGTCTGTACATCACATCAGAAAGCACGGATTGGCTCAGTGCCAGAGCAAAATCTTCTCTCGAGCTACTATCATGGTCAAAACTAATTTTATCCGTAATTCAACTAAACCCGTATATCCTCCAAAGTCGGGTGGCTTTCCCAGAGAGTAATATTTCGGGATAATAGGAAAACAGCAACTCTACTGAAATGGATTAGTGATTAAGATAATGGACGTAACGTTCCATAGAGAACCGAATGATGGCAGTAACAAGAGGCAGGGTGACAGGACCAAACGTATAATCTACAATAGTTTCAGGGTAGAATTCATAACCCACCGATATAGGGGGGGGTCAAGTGCCCGACCAAGTGACACACATAAGAGGGCTGAACCTGACCACGTACGTACAAAGGTGGCACCCACTCACCTCATCTACCTTTCTGCGGCTGCAGTCGTAGGTGACGTTGAAGAGAATCTTGAGAATCTCCATGGCCCTCTCCACGTCTTGCCGGGACAGGTGGCAGTTAGTTCCATACAACGGCGCGCCCTCTTCATCCCCGAGCCCAACCTCTTCGCTTCCTCCTCTGTCATCGCTGCTAGCTGCGGCCGGAGAGCTCGCTGACGCAGAGCAGGGCGGCGGCGTTTGCGGCAGCAGCGCGGCCGTCTCGTGGATATCGCGCAGGCTCATCCCGTTGCCCACAGCCGTCGCCGATGACGACGACGACGACGACGACGACGACGACGAGGCGGAGGAAGGGCAGGAGTTGCTCAGCGGGGGCGACAGGGTGCAGGGCTCGGGCGGGTCGAGCGAGGGCGGCGCCAGCATGGACTCGAGGGCCTCGGTGAGGAGGGCGAGGCCGCGCAGCTCGCGAGAGACGCGCGCTCGCACGCCCAGCCGCAGCGCCGTGATCAGGAAGAGGAGGCGCAGGTCGAAGAACCTGCGAGCGCCGACGGCGCGAGTCACGTCGCCGCGTGCCCGGTTGTCAACGAACATTTTTAATCTTTATTTTGTTTCATATTTTCTCGTGATGCGTCTACGTTGAACTTCTTTCGGACCGTGCGCAGCCAACCTTGCTAATCGGAGGTGCGGTTAGTGGTCTCTGACTAGGGTCGGATGCTGGCCACACCACCCCATAGTACTATGTGGCAGACCTTAATAGGTACGCATTTGTGGAGCACACCTGTAATCGAGCACTCTGGAGGCGTGGGTTGGCAGATCGCACAGTTTCGTGATATTCCCAAACTCGCTGGGCTGCGAGGTTATCGTTTGCTGTGTTTTTTACAGGGTATAGCTCAAGAGCAGTTGTTCTTAACCTGGGGTGCACGCACCCTCTATGAATGCGAGATGCCCTTTCTGAAGGTAAGTCATCGGAACACAAATTAAGCACGGGCACACAAGTACAACAACTACTTTGTATCAGCAAACCCAATGTATTTATTAACATTATAACTTGTTTTACGATTGAGAACCAAAGGGGTGCAAGGTTGCAGTAAAGGTTAGGAACCACTGCCCGAGAGCAAGTGGATTAATTTCCATCCGCAATTCTACCCCTGTACGGGTATGGAGTGTTACCCCTCCATCTCCGGGTACTCCGGTTTTCTCTCACATGTATACACACTCGTTAAGGGAACTGGCCAAACGACATCCAAACATGGGGGCCCCAGTGCTTTGGCAAACGTTCGCACCGGTTCTGGCTGCATTCCCACTTTTCCGTTACAAATTTGTGTAAATGTTTTGTTTTAATTTTATTCGCAGCGTAGGTAAATTAGCAACTGTGATGGTGTCCTCAATGTCTGAACGTTGTACTCCCTCTTTTTGAGAGCCAGATATTTTCAACCCAAGTTCTGTCGACGCCACTCATAAGCAAATACACCTGACACTTTCCACAAGGCGAGACTTGAAAGCTTGAAAAAGCAAGGTCAACAGTAACACAAACAGGGTTGATAAGCTCTTGTGAACTGCATTAGTGCTAAAGCAGCATGCTTCTCTGCACTTGAGCATTAATGAGGCTGAGGTGTTTCATATAACGATTCCAGGTCCAATCTCTCAACAAAATGTGTTTTCAGCCAATGCATTAGTACATGTGGGAGGAAACCAGAGCACCCGGGGAAAACATACAGATGGAACAGATGTAGTTTAACACGTAGGCTTTCACAAATCTGGCTGTCGCCTAATGAAGCTTGTTGCAATTACTGGCAAAACGTCGTACTCCAGATTGTAAATGTTGTGGATTTACTCTCCGACACATCGGTGTGCTGTATTAGTAACGCATTAGCATGTTCTGTTTACGTGACAAACCTTACTAAATGGCTGTCGGGTGGTGGCGGGGGGTTTATATTTATGCGATTATTCCCAAAAAACCCTCTATTATGGAATAGACGTAGATGAATGCATCTGTGTAATCCACCAACCCTTGCTGCGTCTAGTGCTGAATTATTGATGAGTGCCACCACCGCCTGGTAAAGGGAGTCCTAACCATTCATTAATTTAGTGACATTGAAAATGGATTGTACAGTAGTTTATGTTCTGTGGTAATATAAAACAAATTACAAATCATAAACCCAGAGAGTCACGTACATGCACATATTTGCAATTTTTTATACTGTGTTTGGTTAAAAAAAATACACTGACGTCGTCGTTGTTAGCATTGTGGAACTTTTATCAGTCGCAGCCTTGACGTGACCACATCCCTGCACGCGTGCCAATGTGTTGTGCAATTTTAGCTGGAAAAAAAAGACACCATCTACTCACAAAAAAATTATTGTATGGCTTGGCAGCACCCATAGTCACCATACGTTCTCACGAGGCCGTACAGAGACGCCTTCTCTGGAAAGCCACCCCACCTCGACTGTCCTCCTGTGGGGCGCCACGGTGCCTCGGAGATGTTAACTACCTCGCCTGGTATACAGGAGGTCGTGGGTTCGATCCCAACCGACGACGCCTGCTGAAAATTTGGAGTTTTGCATGTGTCTCTCCCCTGGGTCGCGTGGATTTTTCTCCGGGTCCTCTGGTTTTTTTCCCTCCACATTTGTCATCATGCGTTTTAGAATGTATGACTGCTATACATTTCCACGTGATAAGCCGCTTCAATGAACGTTCATTAGTGATGGCCAGGTCGCTTCTGAAAAAATAAGAGCTACTATAAACCTCAGTGGTGGATGTTACCTGGTAAAATAAAATACAAATGTAGAGGGAGTTGAGTTTCAATAATGCAATGGCAGCTCTGCCTTGAGCTCTTCTGTAGATTGCACTGGCAAGCAGAGATATTGCTGTAACACCAGTTTACAATGTTTTATTTACTACTTCTTGTCATTCTATCGTTTTCTTCTCTCTCCCCCCACCACCTACCCCCGCCAACGCAGAGGGCCTAACTATTCACAGAGGGGTCCTCAGCATTTGTGCGAATAGACAAAGCTTGCATGTATTACGTGAACTAAACATTTAGTGTGCATAAAGGACCACCTGAAGGATGATTATGAGAAACATTTGGCGAGAGAGTGGAAGTTGTTGTTGTGGCATCATATTTCGAGATATGGTGTCATGTTACCCATGAGTCTTGCTTCACCCCTGTATCCAGTCAGATAGCAAACTGGGATGTAACAAGAAGGCATGAAACAATGATACAACAAACTGTCAAGATTAGATCTAGTAATCGATTATCTTATGGTTATATTTTTTTTCGACTTACATTTGGTCTCGTTCACTCCATTGCCGTCGATCTAATGTTAGGATTCAATAAATATAACTTTCATGTAGTGCGTCACCTCATACAGGCAATATTTGGTTATTATAACAGTAATCGTTAATCGGTAAACCGTTACCTGCCTATTGCCATCGTCAGCCTGTAACTTCCCCACTTACTAGTTTACTGTGGAGCAGCAAGATATGTTCAGAATCAGAATCCGATGAGCCATGAAGCTCTTTTTCACAGATGTTCAGAGTGCAAGTTCCAGTGCGTGCGTGCGTGCGTGCGCATTCTTACCGGACGTCGTGCGTGAGCGCGGCAGACATCTTCAGCCGGCTGACAATTCCGGACTCGAGACGCAGCTCCTCCGAGTAGCGCTGTGCAGCGGGGCTGTTGAACACCACGTTACACAGGCATTTCAGCGCCTCCGTCATGGTATCTGTGTCTGGTAGCTGAAACCAAGGATGGGAGACAGAAGTTGCCCGGATCCGAAAGTAACCATCGTCGTCATCATCATCACTGCGATAAGACATCATCAGTCACCATCATCGGGCATTGTTTGAGACCTGTGTCTAATAATATTTTTTTGGCTCTTTTTTTCTAATTTGGGCATCGCCCGATGATGCTGGATGTAATTACCAGCGAAACGTCGTACTACTCAAATTGTAAATGTTGTGGATTTACTCTCCAACACACCGGTGGGCTGAAGTGGTAACTAATTGGCGTTTTGTTTACGTGACAAATCCCTTACTAATTGGCAGGTTGGGTAGTAGAGGGTTACGACACATTTATACTTACGCGATCTAAGCCAAAAACCTTGATTATGAATAATATTGGTCGCGAAAGCCTCCATGTTAAACCTTCTTTTCTAGATTTAAAGCTTTCGTGACTGCTAGGATCCATACTCTTTGGTTCTATTGGGTAAAGTCACGTAGGTAAAAAATAAAATAACAAAAATCACGACGTTTCGGCCACAACACAAGCGGCCTTCATCAGGTGAAGGCACGAGACTGTCTGGAGGACAGCGCTGGAGTGAAAACCGTTCTTTTGTTTGTTACATTTTTATGGAGTGTCGTGTGAGGCGGAGGGAGTCACCACCTCGCACACGGACGCGGTGGGAGAGTACGTGAGGCCCGCGTGGCGCGCCAGCACACCAAGGCCTTGCTCGGTGGCGAGCGATCCCAGCGCCGTCTTGTCGCGCGACAACACGCGCAGGCTCTCGAGGGCGCTTGCTTGGCAAGCCGGCTGAACGTCTCGGCGTAGGAAGCAGAGCACCGCCTCACACAACGTCTACTCACGCACACAAAAAGAGAAAGAATCCCCCCACCTGTTATAGCCGTACAGACTCTTGGGTCACGTTCTGCGAGAGAGGACGTATTAAGGCCAGCAAGGCGCACGGGGTGACGCGGCAAAAACCATGAGCAGCCACCTTTTGTAGTCATAGTAATGCCATACTGTACTACAAAAACATTAATGTTAAAAATTACAGCGCCATATTTAACGAGATTGGAATATATTAACATTCATTACTTGTTGTTTAAGACCTGTGTCTAATAATATTCTTTTGGCTCTTTTTCAAATTTGGGATTTCAAAGAATATCACCTTTAAGTGTGAAATGTAAATTGTAAGTATGCAAGACACTCCCACCTGCAACAAATCATTGCAATGATGTAAAAGTGTATATTGTTTTAGTGTATCCTCACCTCCCGCAAATCTTTGTCACTTTCAGAAAACATGAACGTCTGTGAATGCTGGAAGGAGAAAAGAAAACAAAGTCAATAAATGAGCCGTTGACGTTCATGAGTAAAGTTGATCTCACTTGCTCCACCTCCACGGTGGATGTGTTCTTGGGCGTTCCCTCAATTTACTGCCACTGTGCCATCGGTCTCTACTGGACATCTGTGAAAAAGAGCTTTATAGCTTATTGTATTCACCCAGTATAAGTATAAATACATATTCTGCTTCTGTCTTGACCGCTGACCACGATACCCTCGTGCAAATTTTTCCTGTGCCCAAGCCCACTTGCTTTCCTTGAAATTCAACATGAGGGTCTCTAACTCACGTTTGTGCTCTAATCCATGCGTTCCTCTCAGTCTCTCGGTGTTATTCCAACAATTGCACTTGCCCGAGCTTCTTTGCGCACTTGTCAGCTTTTGGTCCATTTTGTGTTAATGGCCATTAACGTGATCCATATATCGCAGCAGGTAATATATATTGATTTCAAATGCTCTTCTTTGAACACATCACTGCTCTCTTCAACCTCTTCATCTTGATCCCAGTCCTGCTTCCATGACTGCCCTATAAATTCCAGGTTATAGGTGTATTCCAGTTCTGTCCCTCCAAAATAAATCAATTGGTTAGCCAACTTGTTGTACAATATTCTTCTTTTGCGCCCATTTATCTTGAGCCTCCACAGTGCAACCTTCTGAATTAAGATGTTCAATCATCGAGTTAGGACATTCGCATTGGAATGCTGTAATACAGGGTGTTCCAAAAAGATGGACCCAATTTCAAAGCAGTATATTTCACGATGGCAACATATTACAATTACACAAAAAGTTACAAACGGTTTAATGAGTTATCAAGTTTTACTAACCATTTTTATAAATGCTGTATGTGCCCTCCACCTGCTGTATGGACAAAATCGAGACGATAGTTGAATTCGTCCCAAATGCCTCTCTTCTCACGTTTTCCTCTGAGGTGCGTGATCGCCCAGTGCTCTTCCCCTTACATAAACAGCCACGTGTCCTCAAATTGTCACTACCAACGACGAACGCTCTTTGACATTGGCGGATCAATGCCAAAACACCGTTGAAACGCACGCTGCACCGTAATTATGGATTCAGTCTTGCTGAACTGCAGAATGCAAAACGCCCCTTGTGTTGCGGGGGTCACCATCTTGCGAATGACTGAGGCTAGGGGCTGTTTGTGCGCTGGGAAAGGCATCTAGCGGTAATCATTTGAAACTCTATGCCCCGCCCTTTTCAAGTGGTAAGAGTTTCATTCATGGGCAGTTCGTGGTTGCAGAGATACAGCGATTTCAAATCGGGTCCATCTTTTTAAAACACCCTGTACATACATCATCAACAAATCAAAGATGTTAATGTTTTCTCCATTTATATATACACGCATTTATTTACCTATAATATTCAGAAAATATAAATAAAACATATGTCATTGCCAAAATATGTCATTGTCCAATTCCCTTTCAAAAATGTATAATTATTACATTCTTCAAAAAATCCCAGTGTAGTGGTTCCATTTTAGAAAAAAATATTATTTTGTTTCCATATATTGAATTATACTTGACATTTTGTTATATTGTAAGGTGATGTTAATAATGAACATGGTGAATAACTTTGATTTGTGCAGAGTTGTTTAACATTCATTAAAAAAAACATCATTATTAACCACAGCTTCTCAAACAAACATGGCATTTAAATGTACCACGTGACATTATTATGCTCCGGTAGCATGAAGCACAAGAAAAACGGTACAATTTTATTGCATGCAACTTCGTCTCATTACATATATATTTAAATCACCGGCTGTGAACATGGTGCAATCCATGTGCCCTGCACAATATTTGCAGATCCACTCCAGGAAGGGATGCTCCCTGCAAGAGCATGGCATCAAGCTGCATGACCCAAACCACGCCCAGAGCCTGTGCTGCCACCCAGAAAGCCCTTACGTAAGCCACAGACTGCACAAAACATGGCAGCACACGGCTGTTGGCAGCTGTTAAAATAATTGTCTTGCAAGCGTTAAGGCCCTACCGTTTAAGACACCAGCAAATTTTAAGTCGTTATGCCTTGGCACAATAAGTGCAAAACACGGCTGCGCTGAAAAACATCGTTACAATCAATTGGTAGCCCAAACCCTACCATGAACCCTTTGTTTCCCATGCGTAGCTATGGCACGCCCATTAATGCACCCAATACCAAGCCCTATGGGGCTCCAAAACCTACTGTGATTGGCATCAGCAGCAGTAATAACCAGAGCAGAATTTTCTCTGCAGCTCCAGCATCGAGGTCATTGAGTGAAGGGGCATGGGGATTGTCTTGCTCTAGAGTGCTTGGCATTACACAGGTGCCACTGTACAATCCCCTTAGCAGTTAAACACAAGCATTAATAAGCCGCTCCATGCGGATTGCAGTGTGGCCATCTAAATATATCCCTGAATTTAACTACAATATTATGCCCACAGCACAGCCTGGAACAATGCATGCAGAATATTGTATCCATTATACAATAGTGACAGCTAGTTATTAATTCATTATCATGACATAATCACTCCACCGCTGGATGAAGGCCTCCCCAAGTCGTCACCAATTTCGCTCACAATAAAACCCGAATCAACCTCATACCTGCACACGAGATTTCATCGTTCCATCTCCTCTCGGGTGATCGTCCTCTCCCCCCTATACTCCTCCCTTCTATCATCATTCCTTCAAACAATGCGTATGTCCCAGTTCCGCACTTACTGCCCAATGTTCTCAAAACCATGTGATCCTCTTTTTGGTCTCTCAATGTAGTTAATTGTGCACTTTTCAGTTTATTTCATACCATTTTTTATTAATCATGTTTGTGGTATTTTTTTATTGCCGAGGCATTATATTTGGTTATCCAACACAGAAATTAATCCTGAACATGTATTGCAATATTATAACAATGCACAATACATTTATTTTAACATCTTACTATTGAGGCATGCTAGATACAAGACATTCAACAGAATCAATTTGCAGCTATCACAATCTGCATTTGAATTATGCATAGTTTAACTGCCCCGAATAATTACTGTATCGCCATAATTGCGCCATTAAAGCACCAAGTAGTGATTAATGTTATCAAGACCACGTTTTTAAATAAAATTCAACCGAGGCACACACCTGTAACACAGCTCTTAGGAGGCGATCGGTTGATTAATCACTAAGGGCATATGAAAAACGTCTACACACCGGCTGGGTCGCTTAGTGGCCAGTCGTGGCAGTATACAAAGTGCTCAAGGACCCAAATGGTCTTCTGTGGGGTTTCTCTGGTGCTCATGTTACTATATCCCACGTGGCAAAACCCGTTATTTTAAGATTAATTTGCCAATCATTGTATCCGACTTCATAGGAAGGGTTTCATCAATGTGTGTTAGTATAAACCGGTTATGTAACATGGTTCTTATAAAAAAATTTAACTTTTGTATGCATGTTACTTGCGCAGTATTCGTATTGTTACACGGTGGGTATTGTATTTTGCATTTAGTATTATTATGCATTTGTATATAGCGTACTGTTATTTATAATGTTCATCTACAAGTTAGATTTGTGTATGTTGCCGGTGGCTCAGAGGACAGAGCACTGAGCCACGTGTGTCGTAAGACCCTCCGCCACCCAACGGCGAACGTCGGGGGTAGGCGCAGGGGGCGTGGTAGCCTTCAATCCATCTCATTAACCTTTACTGTAGCCTCGCACCCCACTTTGGCTCTCGATCGTAAACATTTTTTTTTAATGTCAATAAACACATAGGGGTTTGATGAAACGAAGTTGTTGTACCTTACGTTGTCCGTGCTAAATTTGTGCGTTTCGATTATTCACCTTCTAGCAACAATACAAAAAAAAACCCCGGCCACGTCTCGCACCCCAGGGAGGAAGCGTGCACCCCCCCCAGGATGAGAAGAACCCCTGGGATAGAGACAACGGTCGACGCTCAGTAAGGGATGAATGCGAGTGGAGTGAGAACGCCGCTGCCTCACCGCGCAGTTGAATCCCTGCAGCGCCTTGAGGACCGCGTTCTGATCGCCGCCTTTCACCACCTCCACCACCGCATCAAGCTCCGAAGCTTGCATTGTTGTCTTCGCTGCTGCTGCTCCTGCTAATCTATAACGATGTTGTTGTTCTTGTTGTTATTAAGTGCCTGTTGTTGTTGTTAACCGAGGCGCGCTGAGCGGGCGCGCGAAATCAGCGCGGTGCCGCCTTCTCTTGCAGTCTATTTACACCGGAAGTGAACCCAGCACCCACTTCCGGTTCAAAGCTGACCCCTCCCACTGCCGCCGCCGCCGCTTCCCCCAAACGCTGCGATGACCCGGAAATACCTTCTTCGGTTCTTTCGGTAAAGTCACCGCGTAGAATGAGAATTAAACATTAAAACAAAATAAGACAATAAAATTCTCACGACGTTTCGGCCACAACACAAGTAGCCTTCTTCGGGTGAAGGAACAGAACTTCCGCAACGTCATATTCAAGTTTTAAATCGAAAATTAACCCGAAACGTCGTGGAGCGAACGTGAGAATTTTATTGTCTTATTTTGTTTTTATTGTTTTATTCTCATTCTACGCGGTGACTTTGCCGAAAGAACCGAGAAGATGAATCCTTGCGGTCGCGAAAGTTTTAAATCGAAAATTAACCCGGAAATAGTTCCCGGTTTTATTCAAATTAGTCTGGGTTTAAGAGGAGGGGGGAGGAATAGAGGGGGGGGTGTTGGGGGAGAGAGGGGAGGGGTGTTGGGGGAGGGAGGGGTGTTGGGGGAGAGAGGGGAGGGGTGTTGGGGGATAGAGGGGAGGGGTGTTGGGGGAGAGAGGGGAGGGGTGTTGGGGGATAGAGGGGAGGGGTGTTGGGGAAGAGAGGGGAGGGGTGTTGGGGGAGAGAGGGGAGGGGTGTTGGGGGATAGAGGGGAGGGGTGTTGGGGGATAGAGGGGAGGGGTGTTGGGGGATAGAGGGGGAGGGGTGTTGGGGGGAGAGAGGGGAGGGGTGTTGGGGGAGAGAGGGGAGGGGTGTTGGGGGAGAGAGGGGAGGGATGTTGGGGGAGAGAGGGGAGGGGTGTTGGGGGAGAGAGGGGAGGGGTGTTGGGGGAGAGAGGGGAGGGGTGTTGGGGGATAGAGGGGAGGGGTGTTGGGGGATAGAGGGGGAGGGGTGTTGGGGGGAGAGAGGGGAGGGGTGTTGGGGGAGAGAGGGGAGGGGTGTTGGGGGATAAAGGGGGAGGGGTGTTGGGGGAGAGAGGGGAGGGGTGTTGGGGGAGAGAGGGGAGGGGTGTTGGGGGAGAGAGGGGAGGGGTGTTGGGGTAGAGAGGGGAGGGGTGTTGGGGGAGAGAGGGGAGGGGTGTTGGGGGAGAGAGGGGAGGGGTGTTGGGGGAGAGAGGGGAGGGGTGTTGTACAGCCATTTCCATTACTCTCAGTAGGTTGTATGTCAAACTTTAGCTGCCTTATAATTGTACAGCCATTTCCATTGCTTTCTAACAAATGTGTTTGTACTCGCTCCCGTGTAGCACGCCATCGCTCCCCCCGAACCCCCTGCAGGATAACAAAAGGCGGCTTAACTTAGCCCCCCACCCCCCTTAACCTGTATATAATCCCGGTCGTCTCAAGAGCTCCACACTTGGCACAGCTATTCTGCTGTGACTGTTCCACCTGAAGGCGGAAGCTTGTGTTGCCTCCTAAACGTCGTGATTTAATTTAGGGGTTTTGGGGGATACTGTGATGCTTGTTCCGGCTAAGTCCACATTGTTTCGTCCGAAAAATGTTTCACGAGAAACGAAACATTGAACTTACAAACTTTCAGAGATACGAACAAACGTGTCCGTATGTCGAGTTGATTGTTCGGACCTAGAGTCGTAAGTTCAACCGCCACGCAATAGACGGCGGTGGTGGCATCTACAACTGCAGAACGTGAAGAACCAGTGGCATCTACATCTGCAGAACGTGAAGAACCAGTGGCATCTACATCTGCAGAACGTGAAGAACCAGTGGCATCTACATCTGGAGAACGTGAAGAACCAGTGGCATCTACATCTGCAGAACGTGAAGAACCAGTGGCATCTACATCTACAGAACGTGAAGAACCAGTGGCATCTACATCTGCAGAACGTGAAGAACCAGTGGCATCTACATCATCAGAACGTGAAGAACCAGTGGCATCTACATCTCCAGAACGTGAAGAACCAGTGGCATCTACATCTACAGAACGTGAAGAACCAGTGGCATCTACATCTGCAGAACGTGAAGAACCAGTGGCATCTACATCTACAGAACGTGAAGAATCAGTGGCATCTACATCTGCAGAACGTGAAGAACCAGTGGCATCTACATCTACAGAACGTGAAGAACCAGTGGTATCTACATCTGCAGAAAGTGAAGAACCAGTGGCATCTATATCTGCAGAACGTGAAGAACCAGTGGCATCTATATCTGCAAAACGTGAAGAACCAGTGGCATCTACATCTACAAATTTTAAAGCCATTTCCCGTGTTTAGTGTACATGCCGTACAACGTTTGGAATCGACAGGAGTAAAGTTGGACTTACGAAGGAATCGACTTACGAACAAACCTCTTCGAACATAACTCGTTCGTAAGTAGAGGCTTCCCTGTACACACGTACGTACAAACAAGTGGGGCAGTTTGTTCCACTGGGTGGCGCTAGTATGCCATGGCTGATGTTCACTGCAAGTATATTTCACCATGGTGAAATGAAAGTGTTTTTAATTTACACTTCTCTCGTGTACACGTGCACAATTAAGGCAGTTCCTTAATTCCAACTCCACATGTTAACACCGTCGTTCGAATTTTTATTTCGCAATTTCCGTAATTCTGCACATTGTGACCGAAAAATCTTTAAACGAGATTTACAAATATCACCAAGGTGCCTCTCCTTGGAGGCCCATTGTTACAACTCGACGTTTTTTAAAAAATCGGTGTTTTTTCTTTCATTGCCGGTAACCGCATGACGACTGCTTAAATCGATGACCCATTCGAGCAGTAAACATTGATTTTAACCGAGAAGCTACGTTTAGCGATCGCGGCGGCCATGGCCTGGCAGCCCCGTGATTGCCATTCTGTCGCAGAGGTGAACGGTTCCAATCGAGCGGCCGCCCCTGATTAATTACTGCGGTGTGTTACAACCGTAATAATACCACGTGCCGTCTGCTTCACTCACGGTGGACGTTAAAGATCCCCTGACGTCAATCGCGCCCCCTCCCCCCCCCCCCCGTGTTCGTCGATGAATGCCCCAGGTTACTTTTGTGGTGTAATGGTTGGATCTAGAAACGTGCGTTCAGCGTTATTTGGCTGCTCTAAATTTCCACGTGATGATAAGCCACTTCGTTGAGCTATCATGTGTGGCCAGGTCCAGGGGCGGAGCCAGGATTTCAGTCCGGGGTGACATTCAACAAATTTTAATTTCAAGAATGATTAGAGAGTCAGGCTGTTGAACTAGACGCCATCGGTTGGCGACACACTCTGACAATGCAGTTGCACGGAGTCCGCCAGACCGAGTGTCGTACACTTATACGCAGAATGTCACCCCTGTCACCCCCCCTGGCTCCGCCCCGGGCCCAGGTCGCTTCTGAAAAAGAGCTAAGAGTTCAGTGAGCCTTACCTGGTATTTTTTTTTGTTAAGTTGAATTGAATTTTGTTAAGAAATATTGTTTCCGAACACACGTGCACATTATGCAGCGCATTACACGTTTACGAATAGTCCTGAATATGTATTACTGCTTACGCCTTCCTGTTAACATGAAGCCAATTGGGCTCCTAGCGACTGGATAAACGCGTGCGCGTTGTCCAATCCCCTGATCGAATCGTCATCGCCAGGCACATTCACTCAGTCGGTCCATCATCATCCAATCTGATCTTGATTTCTTTTAGAATCATTCACAATTTGAAAATGAACCAATTGTGCATCCCGACGTAATGCCCCTTTGATCGCATTTACTTTGTTGAGATTTTGCAAAAAATCTGAGTGAAATTTACGTGAACTGTATCAAATCACTCAACATTCTCTACCAAAATGTAAAAGCTGCACCCTTCACGAACTCACCACCAGACTCAGCCTCAACTCTTCATTCAACTCACCAAATTATTCTCCCTATCAGCTCACCCACCAGCCCTCAAGCTCACCCCCAATAGGTTGATGGTCAGCAGATGTAGTGACATAGAATCGGTCACGTAGCGGCATAGCGCTGGCTGCTGGCAGGGAAGGGGATCTGCAGCTTACAGCAGCCCTGACTGAGAGCAGGTCACGTGATAGACCAGAGAAGGATCTAGGGGAAAGGTTACAGAAGGGGCACATCGAGAACCCGCTGGTAGGTTCCAGAAGGGGGGCGTGGCCGGGGGCGGAGCCAGGCCACGCTGACAGTATAAGAGAGGCCCCGGGAGGGGACCTGGGGGCTGTCATTTGGAGCGGGATCCCATCATGCTGCTGGAGTCTTCACCGTCGTCTCCGTCTTCACCATCTCGGCGTCGCCAGGCAGTCTACCAGCTGTCCTGACTGGGAACCGTAGTTACCAAGTGTTAACTGTTAAGGCCGTGTTAATGAACAGAGTGCCTCCTACTCTTAGTGTCTCTGAGTCAGTCACTACACAGGTTCTATGGCAGAGGCACTGCAACTATCCGGTTGTGTTCAAAACTTTAAGGTCAAATCAAGTCCATCGTCTCTCTCTGTCTCTTTGGGTGAAGACGAGTGTCACTGTCGGAGATCAAGTGGGCATTCTTTCGGAGACTGATTACTTCACAGTGATGTGCACTTGCGCCATCAGCCCAGGAAGTACCAACAGAGATCATCTTCATCCTCAACTTGTTTGAGCACGGAGACACTTTGACTCTGACCTCAACGATTATATCAATAAGTGTCAATTCCTTTCGGGATGCAGAGAGGACGTACGACCAAAACACATTTTAATATAACTACGCATTAAAAATAATGCGCAGAAGCATAACGCTTTTATCCCAATGCGCTTCATTTTTAAATGAAAAATATATGGCAAGATTATTTTAAATGGCTCGCCAGGGCATCCTAGTAACGATGCTCATCACGCCGATCCCATTTCTCCAACACCACTCAAGCACGGAGTTCACTCCCACAATGTGTTATTGGGGGTTTTTTTGCTTCAGAAGTTGACTAAATTGCCCTTTGCGTTGTCGTCAGGATATTGTTTTGGATTTATTTTTGGGGCAACATACTGGCAGACGAGTCTTTTTTTTTTAAAAACGCAATTAATAAAAAAAGAAAACCGAATCAGTGCATGTAGGTTTATTTTTATTCAATATGAA